CCCATTGAAATAGAGGACGCACTCTATTCGTTTTGTTTCCCGTATGACGTTGACGCTGCTGTGTTAGAACAAGAGCTGATCATCGCCCTTGGGCACTTCGCCTCAGTTGAACCAGAGCTGTTTTCTGGCATGCTTAAAATTCGCATAGGGTAGCTGATCATTTACTAAGTACCATATCAGTTGTTGAATGACGTGGCACAGTTTAGCTGGCTAATTCATGCCATGAACCTGCAGTTGAACTACGAGCATGACCGTGTCGGCCATCGCTCTGTGAACGACTTGTCTCCAACGGAAATCAAACAGGAGCTGCATGACCTGTTCGCTATGAAGCACTTCAGCAGGCTGTACTTATTCTGTTTGCACGTATTCCGTAATTCATCTGCCATTTAGTTCAGCGTTACAGCAACGGCAGTTGAACGGATGCCTGAACCGCGTCCCACCTGACTTTTATGATCAGGTATGGCGTATCTTAGAGCGTACTCCAGAAGGAATCATCGTTGCTGGCCATCATTTGCCGCAACAGCCGACTCTATCTGACATGACAGAGTATGAGCTGAACTTCGCTTTGACAATCGAAGAGCTTCTGAGCCGTCCGAAGCTTCCAGAGTATCGTCAGGTTATGGTAGAGGTAAAGCTGTCCGTTTCATTATTATGTGCTTTAAGCTAAACATTTTATGAACCTATTTGTTTTCTGTTTAACGAAAGAGCAGGCTTGCCAACATCGATAAAGGATCAGTCTTCCTGAGCGCAGTACAATAAGAGATTAAAATATCATCGATGGAGCACTTTTCTCTAAAAGATAGTCTCAGATAATGTGAGATTCGGCTCGGAAATAGATATTTAGATCGTCTTTAGGAAAGTCGGCAGAGGCCTCGACTAACAACCTTTAAGAAACAGGAAGAAATAATGTGCTGCAGGAATTAATGGAATACATCTGAGCTAATTAAGGAGTCTAGCATCGACATATTGTGGATGTTAGTGAATCTTTTTGGACTGTTATGGCAGAAAGAAGAGGTCCTGAATGACGGAATGAAAGATATTGTGGTTGGGATAACCGGTGAAGGCTGTTTCTCGGATTCAAATAACTGCCGTGAAATCAGCCTACCATCCGTTCTTGCTAAAGTGTTCATGCGTGTTATGGTGAGTAGGATTAATGAACCTGTCGAGAAATTCTCCGGTAAATAGCGTCAGGGTTCAGGGCAGATGGAGAATGTCTGGTCCAGATATTCCACAATGAGACGACTAGTAGAAAAGAGGAAAATTGGGATCCAAATTCTTTTCTGTATTTATTAATTTCTAGATGGCTTTTAACTAAAT